CCTCTGGACTGCTTTGATTGATGCCCCTTGCCTGGTACATCACACTCCTGCTCAAGCTGTTCCTTGAACTTGGAACACTTTTCCCCTTTCTTTCCCCACCACATCTCACCAGGCTCAGCACAAACCTCACTGCCAAAACCCTCCTCAACCTCCACTCCCGGGAGAGGTAACTTTATACTTGTTTGGTCATAACACTTTGTACATTATATTTACAATTATCTATTATTATTTTCACATTTTTCTCCTGAGAATATCCTGATGGTGAGGATGAGGGAGTGGTCTTATGTATCTTTTGTCTTCCAGTGATAAGCATTTGCTGAGTTCAGTAATTATTAGATGAACCCATAATACAGGCAGTGATAAATGAATGGGAGTTTTGGTTAAAGGATGAGGACAGAGAGAAGAGCGGGAAAGCAGAAGGGGTTTTGGAGCATGTGATGGAGAATGGGTCTGAACAGGACACGAAATGCATCCTTTAGTTGCCAGAATGGAAGTCCCATAAAGGCACCAATGGCAGGAAGGGCACGGTGTTGAAGCTGGATAAACTTCCATTGAATCCTTCCATGTGGCCATCTCCTGGGTGTGTGCGTGGGCAAATATTAATGAATGAAAAAACTGCATTCAGTTCTTGGAAAAAGCCTTATTGATCTCTGATTGTGTCCCATGCTGGGTACTAAATTCTGGGTACTAAGTGCTGGGTACTAAATGGGGTGTGAGCAAGGTGGACTTCCTCTTACAGAGGAGGAGGTAAACATTCTACAGTACCCCGGCTGGTATAAAACAATGAAAATAGTCTGTTCATAGAAGCGAATTTTAAGCCAATGTCATCTGGCTTCCCCAGGCCTACGAAGGGGAGTGCCATTTGCATTTAAACTTGACTGTGCTGCCACTCTGCCACACCCCACCCCCGAAAAAACCAGCAACCTTCAAAGGGTTTCCCAGTTACGGTTCTTCCTGTTTCTCAAACTATAGGATGGAGGAAATGTGACCATTCCAGAACCCTAAGTTCAAAATCAATCCAAAAAGGCTAGATTTTCTCAGTTGCAAATTTGGAATGCTGCAGGAGAGAAATGGATCTTCCAATTGCTGATAATATAAACAAAGTTGCTGAGGGCCCTGGTGTGTGTTTGGGGGGGAATGTTAAGGGAGCCATTGTAAGCAGCAAGCTCCCGCACATGGTTTCCAACACAGACAGACACTATTACTGCCATTTTACAGAGGAGGAAATGGAATCCTGGAGAGGTTTAGTAATATACCAAAATAATATGTCAGAACTAAGGTCAAACTCCAAAGACTGTACTTAACTGGGACACATTACTGTCAGGCTCAGTCCAACTGCCTAGAAGATAACTTTGACTTCTCTCTGGGACACAGATAAATAGGTTTGTGAGGACACAGCAACAGGCCTGGTGCTAAGATTTCATACACAGAACACAACCGCTTTGGGCTAAGCTGTTTCCTACAGCAGATTCTGATGCCCATTCCTTAAAGGTAGGGCTCACCCACATAGGCGTCACTGTGGGGGCGCCTGGGTGGCTCAGTGGGTTAAGCATCTGCCTTCAGCTCGGGTCTTGCTCTCAGGGTCCTGGGATGGAGCCCTGCATCAGGATCCTTGTTCAGCTGGGAGTCTGCTCACTCTCTCTCTCTCTCTCCCTTTAACCCCCCTCCCCAACTGCACATTCTCTCTCATTCAAATAAATACACAAAATCTAAAAAAAAAGAAAAAAACTGTCACTGTGATTTTAAGAGAGTTGAGGTACAGCAATAGGGCCCTTATTTCTGGCTGTTCACTAAGACCAATGCAAGCACTGCCCAGCGCTTAAGACTGAGGACTCTGGGGTGTGACAGATCCAGTTTGCCTCTGGCTCTGCTGCTTGGCAGCTGTGTACCTTGTGAAAATTAATTGCTCTTTCTGAGCCTCACTTCCTCATCTGTAAAGTGGGCGTTTTAATTCCTATTGCATCGGCCTGCTGGGCAGATTAAATGAACACATACGGACACATATCTATTCCTGGAAGAGTCCTCAAAACAACAAAAAAAGCAGCTATTATTATCATTAATTTCTACAAAAGGGAATGTATGTCTTTCTCTTCCCAATAGCAGGGCACGTACAGACAGCCCGTGCAAAAATGTATCAGTTCCCCAAGGAAATATCACAAGAGAAAGGGGAATCAGAACCTACCCATATTTTATTCTACTGGGAATTATCAGCTGAACCATCAACGCCATGAAGTTGTCAGCTCAACAACTTTATGTGGGCTCAGGATTCCCATCTGGAGGTCAGGAAACCTAGCATGGAACCAAGTTTTGTCCAACGAGGATCAATGACGTCACAATCCAATACCATTTCTCCTCAAAGTGCTAAAGAGCACAGCAATCGTCTAGAAGGGATTGTCCCCATTCAAGAGTCCCTGCTCCAAACAAAAACTACTTACCAGCACTGCCTCGTGAACACTGATCTGCTCCAAATCCCAGCTCTGCCTCTCCCTGGGTTCTTCAATTGGAGCATGAGACTGAGGGTGAGGTCATCTCGAGAGGATAACATCTGGTCCCCAGGAGAATATTAAGCATGTGTCCTCCTGCCTAGATCTCTGTGCTGTGTCAAATCTTGATCACGTAACAGGCAGGAGTCTGTGCTCAGGAGCCTGGCCACCTGGGTCAGATCCCAACTCCATAGCTGTGCGACCAACCGTGGACAAGTTACTCAACCCCTGGGAGGCTCAGTTTATAAGAATAGTACCTGCCTCACAGTGTCAGGGGTGAGAATGCAACGAGATAATTATGTTCATAATTCAGCACCATGTCTGGAAGACAGCAAGCACCCCATAATGGTTGCCGTTTCCAGGATCCATGATAGTATTATTCAAAAAGGAATTCTTGCTTATAACTGAGTGCACCCATATTTAAGCCTCAGACTGTGTGACCTTGGATAAGTCATGCTGTGGTTGTGGGACGCAAGGGTCCTCATTGCTAAGAGCTGTTGCTAGAGCAGGAAGCTCACAAGTACCCCCGCCCCCCTCCCCCCCAGTTTGAAACCCCACTGATGTGAGCACTTCTGCTTTACAAGGACAGTGGCGTATGCTTCTCCTTTAAATGAAGTGAGTTCTGTATTTCCGGTGCTCTTGAGAATGCCAGAGCAGAAGAGGCCCGTGGGAAGGGGCTCTGGAAAAGAGGACAGGTGCTGAGATGCCACCCTGGGCTTCCTCTTCAGATACAATGTCTTATGGCCCTGCCTTCCCCACTCTCTTCCCTCCTGCTCATCGTTGTATCATCCTTCTATCCAGCTCCTTGTCCTAACACAGGCAAGTGGTGGCTGACGGACCTGCCAACCTCCTCACCACCGGTTTGGAGAGCAGCCCCTGCAGCTCTATGTGGAGAGTGGGGAGGGCTGCAAGGAGGAGGACACCCCCATGCCACGTTGCTGTGTGGCGTTTCCTTGGGTGACAGTGCCGATGGGCAGAGATGACCTGACATTCATGCACTTCTGGCGACTGAGCTGGGCCAGGGTGTGGGACCTGGGTGGAGGCAAGGGTATTTGGAAGCTTAAGCCCTGATATGGGCAGCTGACCTTTCTGGATTATACAGATCCGTGTTTAATATTGAATAATGGCGTATCTTCAAATAAGCTCTCTGAAGCCAAGTAAAATAGTTTCTTCTGCCTAATAATCAAGACTGCTAAAGAACAGAGGTCTCTATTCTTCTGAGTTTTATTTACTTAAGTAAATAAACTATACCCCACGGGAGGCTGGAACTCATGACCCAAGAGCATGAGTGGCATGTATCCTCTTCTGACTGAGCCAGCCAGGTGCCCCAGAACAGAGGCCACTTTGAATGGCGGAGGGAAAGGGGATGAGCACCTCTGTGTGCCAGATTTTACAAACATACACATATAGAAATTGGATCTTATAGATACATATTTTTAAGTAGTATATATAAATTGATCTTTAAACTGGTAGATATGTGTATGCTATCTCCATCCCCTTTAAAAGCAAAAAGTACTCTCAGAGTTTATCTCCAATACACACAAGGAGAGAAGTCACTCCCCACTCACTTCCTAATGATTCAGGTCCTCCTGATCGAAATCCCAAGCTCTCTCCTCCACACACACACAGAGTTCACACCTTTTCCTTACACATTCCCATTCACTAGATTTTAGATCCAAATATAAATATTGCAGGGCTTAGAACCTGGTCTAGGAATGGGGACTGGCAACCTCTCACTTCTCCCCCAGTCTCTGCAGAACTAAGAATTCCTCATCCGGTCACGCTGCCCAAAATGCTAACAAGTAGAGATTTCCTTGGGTAAATAAGCCTCAAGCCACATTCAGGTGCAAGAAAAAACCCCATATCTGAGTATCACAACTTTTTCCTTCCTTCCACCTTATATAGAATCCTCAAGGTTTTCTTTCTTTCTTTCTTTCTTTCTTTCTTTCTTTCTTTCTTTCTTTCTTTCTTTCTTTTTTAATTTTTTGAGCCTTCTTTTTATTTCATCTTCTCAGAAACACTGACCTGGCTTTTATGTAGAAGTTTTCAGTCTTCCTTTTGCAAAGCTGTTTGGAAGAACACTCATCTTGCAAGGGAGGCTCTGTGGAAGGTCTGAGTACTATGCAGCCTTGGCCACAGTCAGTGAGGTCAGCCTCCCTAGGGGTAGCAGGCGGACCCATGTCTCCTTGAGAACTTACATTACAGTTCCCAGCTTCCCCCGCAGTGAGCTATGGCCATGTGACTGAGTTCTAGGCAACCCAATGTGAGCAGAAGTGACAAGCACCACTTCTGGGGAGAGGCCCCTGATCACCCCCTCCCCACCACATGCAACCCTGCATTCCTCCCTTCCACCTGCTAGCCTGAAGCACACAGACAATTAATTCAGGGAGCCAAGTACTGAAATTGGTGAATCAAGATGGAAGGCACCTGGTCCTCAAATTACCAACTGGAAAAAAGCTGTCCGCTGTTCAAGATGACACATTCTGGATTTCACAGCAGGAAGGAGTGACCCTCAACTGAGTGAAGCCAGTAAAACTTGGGGGTTTATCTGTTGTTGCAGCTAATTAATGTAATATGAGTTCTAAGTAGTCACACACACCCCTTTCGACAAGTGAGTTTGATCTCTTTCTTCTCTCCAGCCTCTCCTGCTCCCAACTCCTCTCCCCCCACTCACATTGCATTCCTAAATGGAGAGGCTGGCCACTTTTTGAGATTTCTGATTTTCTGAAGTCCCAATTGATATTTTGTGAATAGTATTGGTGGTGTGGCTATAATGGAACACTACGTTCTTATTGCCTTTAAGGACTACCAGCCCAGGCTGCCATTCAGATGTAATTTCATTTCTTCCTACAGGCTGGGGGTGCTTGAGGACTTTGGGGTGATACTATTGTACAGTGTATTGGTGTAGTGGAGGGAATATTTGTGAACCCTGGGATTTTGGGAGACTGAGAAAGTGAAGCTCAATGAAGAAGAAAAAAAAATAGGGGGACACACACCTTAGAGTGGGATCAGCTTGAACTAGGCACAGATTGCCGGATCATCAGTGACTTTCCATAGCACAGATCCCAGCAGCTGCGCAACCCACTTTACAGGTCCCTCTTCATCTCTCAGTTTCCGGAGGGATCCAAGACCCATAGCCAGTATTTTAGGGACTGTCTAATTAACTTGGCAGAGAAAGGCTGCATAATTGATTCAGGTCTTTCAAGCTCTTAGTCTCCTTTTAATCAAGATCCTGTAACAAGTCACTAAACAAGTGTTCGGAAACCCTCCAGTGTCTGTTCCTAAGGCCCTAATACTCTCAGCGCTTCCCAAGTTGGGAGAGTAGCGAGTACATTCGTTGACTGCAATGCAATTGACAGACAATGCACATCCTAATTTTTCTTTTTGGAGGTAGTGTAGTATAGGAAAAAAGAGGGGGTTTTGGAACCACTCATATCTGGATCTAAAAGCAGGCTCTACCACATTGTAGTAATAATTGACCACATCCTTGGCAATTCATCTCGGAGCCTTCTTCCTCACGGATGAGAGGCTCAGATCATTCCACTCATGGGGTTATTTGGTTTTTTTTTTAAGATTTTATCTATTTATTTGACAGACAGAGGTCACAAGTAGTCAGAGAGATAGGCAGAGAGAGAAAGAAAGGAGGAAGCAGGTTCCCCAAGGAGCAGAGAACCTGATGCGGGGCTCGATCTGAGGACCCTGGGATCATGACCTGAGCCAAAGGCAGAGGCTTAACCCGCTGAGCCACCCAGGTGCCCCTCATGGGATTATTTGTAAGGATAAGGAAATAATGTAGAGAAAATATCTAACACCTCATAACATAGTATATAAAAGATTTTCCTTCTCCTCTAAATGCATTCCTTATCCTCACCTGTGTTTCAAAATCCCAAAGCTCAGAGTTCTTCTTTACAATCTGTGTGGAGCCAGATTGTAATGGTGAACAGGACTGCAGTGCAGCTGTTGCTACCTTGGCATGCTCCTCCAGACTACTAACGCGTCCCTGAGCCACTCTACTAGCTCCCGAGATCATTCACTCTGGGGTGCGCTGGCTTCCTGTTCCTGGTACTCTGCTCGGGGGCCCTCGGGGGCTCCAGGGTGAGGTGGTGCTCAGGCTACATGCGTGGCCTGAAGATTCTCTGGCAGACCAGCAACTGCCAGCCAGGGTGGGGTAAGGACTGGGAGTGAATGACCTGTGTGCTTCACACCAGCACAGATGCGTGTCTGGGTGTGAGACAGAGGCTAACTCATTCATACCCACATTCTTTCCAGCCCTTGCTGAGGAACGACATAGTAACTTAATGATATTTCCTTTTTGTTTTAAGACTATTTCCAGCTTGTTCAAGGTTTGCAAATACTTCTCTTTTTTTTTTGAAGATTTTATTTATTTATTTGACACAGAGAGAGAGAGATTACAAGGAGGCAGAGAGGCAGGTAGAGAGGGGTGAGGGGTGGAAGCAGGCTCCCCGCTGAGCAGAGAGCCCCATGTGGGGCTCAATCCCAGGACCCTGAGATCATGACCTGAGCCCAAGGCAGAGGCCTAACCCACTGAGCCACTCAGGTGTCCCACGGTTTGCAAATACTTCTAAAGCAAGATCTTATTTATCTGTCTTCATAGTCTTCTAGACCTGGGAGACTGGACACCTTTTCTAATTTTCACAGGGGCTAACGCTGGCCCCACCTGCAGCCCCCTTCTCTCTCTCTGTGTCTCTCTCTCTCTAAGGGTGTGGTGGGCCTGACACCCATTGTCTGGTTAGGGCTAAGCCTCTAGCTGCTCTAGGACATGAAAGCAGGACTTGCTGCTCTTACCATGGTCTTGAGTTGGTGAGTGCACATGGCTGCATTGGCCACTGACACAAGGCTGTTCTACATGCAGTCCCAGGGTCCTCAGCACTGTTCCACGCAGAGACCTGCCACTGGAAAACGAGAACTATGAAGCCTGGTAGGAGAGCAGGGGAAGGCTGTGAGGGGGCTTATGGGTTTTAAACTTTTGTTCAGTTCAAAATATCCAGATAGCTACATAGTTTGCACTATTATAAAACTAATACATTTTCATTTTTTATAAAAAGATTTTAGTTATTCATTTATTTATCGGAGAGAGAGAGAGAGAGCGTGCGCACAAGCAACGGGAGCAGCAGGCAGAAGGAGAAGCAGGTTCCCCACTGAGAAAGGAGCCCGATGTGGGACTTGATCCCAGGACCCTGAAATAATGAGCTGAGCTGAACACAGATGCTTAACCAACTAAACTACCCAGGCATCCCTACATTTTCATTTTTAAAAGGCAAAAACCACTCAACTATATAAAGAAAAGGTCAGTTTCCCTTCCCCCCAACCCATCAAGCCCACTTCCTGGGAGGTATCTACTGTTGCCTGTGGCTTCTTCCAGAATTTTCTCTGTGTTTTTATAAATATAAACACAAGCCCATCAATAACACACATATACACGCACATAAAATGTTAGTAGACATTTGTTTACTAAATTACAAATATGTAGAGTGAGAATACATATTTTTTTTTGGTGTTGAAGGATGTCTTCATTTAGGCATTTACAATATACGTCAAAAGCTTTCAAATGTACAATTGGGCATGTCACTTTTAAGAATTTATCCTAAAGAACTATGATTTCAGGGCACCTGGGTGGCTCAGTCATTAAGTGTCTGTCTTCGGCTCAGGTCATGATCCTGGGGTCCTGGGATGGAACCCAGAGTGAGGATCCCTACTCAGTGGGGAGTCTGCTTCTCTCTCTACCTTTCCCCCTGTTCATGCTCTCTATCCTACTCTCTCTCAAATAAACAAATAAGCAATCTTTAAAAAAAAGAAACATGATTTCACTCAAGGATATTTATCTCGTACTTGTTACTGAACATCAACCCCAAATGACAGATCTTCTAAGTATAACAGGACAAGGTGTGGAAAATATGGCATATCTATATATCGGAAAACAATTAAAGCCTTATTAAAACATGTGGTAGAACTGTGTTTACTGATTAGGGCTGATATATGACATCACATTTGTAAAAATCGTATACACATGCTCATTTTCTAAATTTTTGTTGGTTTGTATGTTTATTTCTATTACTGTAAGATCTTTAAGGACACAGACCTCTCCTTAATTTTTCTTCCAGCACTTAGCACAATAAGAGGCATGCAGTAACCACAAAATAAATCTCTATCCATTGTGAAAACTGCAAAAGTGTGTGTGTGTGTGTGTGTGTGTGTGTGCATGCACATGTGAATTATGGAAACATTTATTTAAATGTTAACATGGTTATCAGCTGGTGGGATGATGGACAATTTCTCTTTTTTATTAGTAGCATTTCTGTATGAGCATGCATTACTTGGATAATAAAGTAGGAAAAGAAGTTCCTGTGCTCAGAAAGTAGAGACACATGGGGCCATGTCATGCTTTTCCCTCAGGAATGACAAGCCTGAAAGCAGAGACCATAGGTATTAACCACCCAAGGAAGAGATCTGTGGACAGAGCTAAGTAAGTCTCCCTGGGTTCTGTGGGATTTGGGGATCTGGGCGGTGTTGGGGGCTTTTACCTGGTTCCTGTGCTGGGGAGCAGATTTGATGATACCCACTCCTGACAGATTGTCCTCTAGCCCTCACAGTCTTGGTCGCCTTGGCAGAGAACCACACAGACTCCTGACATTAGAAAAGACCCCGTGAGTGCAAAGAAGGCTCAGGTGGGGGTATCTGGACGCAGGCCTGCTTCTATGTGGTACATAGTACATAACGGAATAGGATGTGAAACAGGACATAATGTGAAAATAAGTCTAAATCGGCATATTTTTAGAAGAAATTGAAATAATATTTACCCAACAATGAATGGTGATTATCTCAAGACCATTCGACTATAGACAGATGTATCCCTTTTGGTTTAGTTCTCTGACATTTTAGCTTTTGCAAGAAAAGTGTAACTTCAATAAAGAAAAAAACCCCAAAATTTAAAAATGGAGAAAATTCAGAGAAATAAGCTTCAGGTTTTTGGCCAATGCTGTTGATCAGCAGGAGAACAGGAGAAGATGGATTCCGTGCTCACCAAGCCTTTCCTGTGCATGCCAGTTGTGCAACAACAGAGGTGTTGGGGGGCAAAGAATTCCCATTTAAGACACAAGGACATAGGAGTTCAGAGAACATAACTGACTTGCCCACAGTCAGGACTTATGAGTGGTGGTGCTGGGGTTGGAACCCAGGTGGCCCTGGGCTTCAAGTCCATTTTGACTAGAGACCTTCTCTGTGATTCCCCAGCTCACACATGCCCATGTGGATTCAGGTATGCCCTCGGATTGGTTCTGCCATGGCTGTATATGTCTGAGGGCCCAATGTGACTTTTGGGAGGCACAATGAGCTTTTTTTCCAGGGAGGGGGGAAGAGTGAGCCTTCAGGACAGGACCTCATAAACACTTGAGGGATCATGCCATTCCCAACCTCCCAGGCATCTGTTGCCTTCATGATTCCCACCACTGCACCTACAAAGATGGCGTCCTCCCTCCTGGGAGTGCAACGTGGCATTCTCCACG